CTTTGCAAAGTAGGTATATGGTTACAGCAATGTCCAGAGGCACTGGTTTAGGCATTGGCTTGTTGCAGTGCTCTGCACATACACAAGGACAAGACTGTTCCACTGTTAAAAAATCTGCAAGGCACCTAACAGTTTAAATACATCACTCAATCAAAACTGAGACACAGGAAGCGCAAAAACAACAAGGATGGTAATACTCAGATTACACAATTAGATGGACTAGACTGTGTTCAAAGAAGTGCGACATTGGTTTTATCCAGCTTCTTTCACCCCAGCTGTAGGATAACAGCAATTATTTAAATTATCTGCATCATGTAATATTGGATGCCAGATCTCCTGTCTTGGTTGTTGGATTTTTTCAGGTCGTTGGCAGAATTCACAGCGCAGAGTGAAGGTCAGATAACAAGAAGCATTCATCAAGCCCCTAAATTTTTCCTGAAGACTTTGTAGGTTCATTGTTATACAGATTTGTATAGAGTTACTGCATGCACAAAAGGCTTGAGTGTTTACATGCATTTTCAAAGACTTGATTCAATTTGGCAGATAATTCCAAAACTACTCTTCTATTATGCACTGAAAAAAAAAAGTTCAGGTTATCTCCACTGGACTGCAAGGGATCACAGACAAAATTTAGCCACAGAAGGAAGTGCACAAGAACGAAGGTCAACAATAGATTCTAAGATCCCACATATATATATGATTATTTTAAGCTGATTATTTTAAGTGGATCATGAAGTGTTTAACAGTTGATCATCCCGTGATCCTCCTCAGTAGCAAGTATTATTTCTGGTATCACTATATTTTTGAAAAAAGTTTGCTAGACAAAGGGCCAAATCTGAAAGGGAAGGAAACATGTAAGCTTATTCTGCCCTAAGTTACTGGACATAAATATTATAAGGCTATATCCCTCTTAGATGAGCAGCACATTTGTAAGTGTGTAGTTCACACCACTTTTGACTAAGCAAACAGCTCACCACTGCTGCAAGGGGGAAGGAACATGGGCTGCCTCTGCAGGTTCTTGCAGATGACAAAGTGATCCCATTCAGTTGATTGACCCAGAAAAGGCAAGAGGAAATTCCCATTCTGATGAATTATTTTTGTACTGTTCTGTTCTACAGAACTGCATCGGCTTGTGTCAGAAGCGCAACAAAGTGACAGAAAGCTTCAGCCAGGCCATCAACCTTCCCTTGGTGGCATTCCAAGTTGTTAATTAGGCTTCTTTCAGAGCATGAAGTCTATCCTAACGAGCATTCACTTGAGTTTGGTAGCAAGCACGTTAAACCACAAAATATTTACATATTGGAAGGACACAATTCAGGTTTGAATTTACACTGTACCATGTTCGTAACAGGCTTTGTGATCAGCCTGAGTTGGTGGAAACAGACATATGCATGACTGTTTGAGAAATTATTGCTATTACGGTTCTCTCTTGTAGTCACAACAATATAGCACACAGTTTTTAAGAACTAAAATGCAGAATCAAACATTTGCGGAGGGAACTACTAAAAGTGGTGGCTTCCATTCCTGTAAAAGTATACATCTGGGGAAAGAACTTATTTTTGGTTTTATATGACAGAAGTAGCTCACTGCCCAACATTTAGACCAACAAATTGTAATAAACTGCATAATTATTAACAACAATCCAATTACCTGCCCATTAATTCCCAAATTCCAGAAAACCCTACTTGCTTCATAGATTACATACTCACTCATTTATGGAATGATAGAGTTTTGCAATGCCCTGATGAGTCCAGTCCTTGCCAAGCTGAGGGAGGATCTGTCCTAAAGCATCAGACCTAAAAGCAAAATCAGAGACAGCTCATACTAAGCATATGAGAGTTTTGTTAAAGACAACCACTAAGGAATTTAAAATTTATAATGAGTATTTACAGAAATATCTCTGCAGAAGATCCTAACGATTTCAAAAGAGAATTAGTAACTACTCCAGACAGAGCTGTTAATGAACTGTTAATGAACATTCTTTAATAATCTTCCTCAATCAAGTTTCTTTATCTTACTTTGCAAAGCAGGATAGGATCAATAAAGCAACATTAAAAAAAAAATCAAATAAAAAACGATGATACTTACTTGGTTATTGTTCCATCAATGTCTGATATGATGATTTTATCATTCCAGTTCCACAGATATATTGTTCCTGCACAACGGCAAGTCCCTTGATACTGGGTTGTAATACTAAATACAACATCATTAGGGCCATCTCTGAGCTTCAGCTTTGCCTTCAGAATAAATCAAAAAAATTGAAAATATAAGTTGTCCTCACTATAAAAGTTCTAGAATCACAAATGAGCTACAGAAAATGGCTCATGTACTCTTCCTTGCCTATTTTAACTCATCAAAAAGTGAAACATGGTTTAACACCGGCACAGTTTTGCTGGCAAAGTCTGTTTTGTAGTCTGGGTACATGTCTTTGTCCGTAGTTCCTGTATCTGCTTACAGCAGCAGATATTTGACTCTTCACTACTTTAATCCTTGTTATTACAATAGACTCACAGAACTATCAAATGCAACTCCCAGTTTGCAATAGTATGCAATACTGTTTTCTACTCAGTGGATGTTTTCCCCAAAATCTTCCCTGATGATCATACATTTAGACAGCAGCAGAACTAACTTGTAAGTTAGACTGCAGTGAATAAACTGCATATCAGTTTATATGTACATTATTAGGCTGACCAGATCCCAGAATAGCCAAATTGCAGAAGCCAACAATGTCACCTTTTTGGCAACATCTTAATATGTAAGTTTGGTTATAGAAATTTGCAAGAAATTACTATTTTTCAATCCAAACACAGATTCTTAAAAAACACAATAGGAAAAAAAAAAATAATAAAAATTCCCTGCAGCTGCCCACACTAGCACAGGAAAATACTTTCAATTTCCTTTTAAATTTTTAATTTCCCCATTCCTTTTTTCTGCTGCTAGAAAAGCAGCCCAAAGATCATTTTTTACTTTGTGAAATGTACTTATATGTCACTTCTAAAAAGCGGAAAAGTCCAACCTGTAGAATCAGAGTGGAATTATGAAGCATCCTATGTACAAGAAAGGCATCCCACTTACTATTTGGTCCGAAGACAGTCTAAGGGACTTCTTGTAAGATGTAATGTTCCCATGGGTTGGATGCTCTACTGGGGTAGAATCTATTTTCAGGGATTCTTTCAATTCCTGTGATACTTCATCACTAGAAGAATCATCTTCTGGAGGTCTAACATGACATCAACCAGAATAAATGTAAGCTACAGAAAATCCTTCTTTAATGCTGTAAGATTCTTATGCAAGAGCAATTTCTGCTTATGTTGAGGATTTACTACTAGCCTGACAGCACAGCTAACAAGTCCATAAGCTACTGAATGCCCAGATAAAGCTAGTATATGCCAAGAAGCAAGTAAGACTTGTAATGCATGCTAGTATTGGTGGAGCTCTAAACATTACTATTACTAGCTGGCTCCACGCATGGTGGGTTTAGTAAAGACACAGTGTCAAGCGGTCACTAATACTGTGTTGATGAATTAGGTAAACTGCAGACAGAAAGGGATACTGAATGAGTTATAAGTGTTTTGGTTTTTAAAAAAGCTGTCACAGTTACTACAAAATTTAAACTGTGGGTGGTAAGTCAGCGGAGTAGCTCACCTTTTGAGGTTATTCACAGACTTATTTTTCTGCTAATTAGAGATTTCAAGATTAAAAGCAGCATTTAATTTCTCTGAAGTATTCAATCACAATATATTCAGTTTTTTAAATCTTTAAGACACCAAAAACATTTACAAGTATCTTCGTAAAATCATGGGAGAACATGAATAGTGATAATAAACTACCTAGACTGTGACAGTTTTGTGCTAAATACCGCTAGTTCTCAACCATAATCTTGGGCAACTTGCGCACTGTAATGAATACTATTTTATTGTTTCAATTATTTAATGTTACAAAAAATTGCACATGGTTTAAATTATTCATACAGTATCAGGCTTTTCAAAATAAAAATTAAAAAAAAAAAAAAGAAGAAGAGGCAAACAATATCTCAGAAACAATACCACTATGTTTACAGAGCAGTGGCCCATTGCTAAAGGTTATCATCTATGTATTTGTTATTCTGTCAGTTATGTTACGATTTAAGAAGTAAACACAATAGGATTTAGGAAATAATTGCAGTGTATTTGTAGTTCCTAACATGTTTGCTGCCACATTATTTTGCTGAATTGTTTGCTAAACACATCTGGTTCCTCTTCTGTAGCTTAGAGGAAAACGTTTCTTCCCACAGTAAATTCCTACTGAATTCTTCATTCAAAAAAAAAGAAAGGAAAAAGAAAAAGAAAGAGACAAAATACACTAGTCAGTCCACATCCACAAAATAGTCTTCAGACAGGAACACACCTACTATTAACTTGCTCTTTTACAGTCGCTGGCAGTTCATTTGCTCTTTGCGTCTCAGTTTTCCCCTCTTTTGCCTCTGGTATCTAAAGCAACAAGATAATAAAAAACATACTGACATTTTAAGCATTTTAAACTGGTCCAAGTGAATTCATATTTCATACTTACGCAAATAGCTATCAATATTGTACATAACCTATATTAAGTCTCAGAATCGCTCATTCTGTAAATTATTTAACAAAAGGATGCTTATGAAAAAATGATCCATTAAAGCTTTTTATTATTTCAGGAAACAAAACTCTGCATGCCAGAAGTTGAGAACTGGTAGTTTAACACGATGAATGTAGCATTAAAGGAGCTGTCAACTTCTAAGCTTATAAAATTCACTTTTTTGGGGGGGAAGTAAATTTAAGTCATATACTCAAGGTTCAAAAAGCTTAATTTAGTCTAAAATAGGGTGTCTCAGCATAACATCTATTACACAGCACAGCACCTACTTATCTATTTGCGTATACATTCCTAAAACATACTGCAGTGACTAAAGAGTAGCTCTGACAACCGCTTCTGGCTTAGAAGAAAGAATTTTAAGAATATTGTGCAACAGCTGAATACAATAAATTTTGTTGAAGCAACTAGTAAGAGCAAATAAAGATGTGGTATTTAAGACTAAATATACAGCAGCTACAGCAACACTGAGTAACTCTAAGCTGGTAATCAGTGACACAGAGCTCTATGAGCAGCGCTCTGAGGCATTTCTGACAAAACACAATTTTTTCAACTTTTAACAGCTACAGAAAGACAAAAAAAAAAAAAAAAAAAAAAAAAAACAAAAAGGGCCTCAGTTC